AGAAAGGATCTCGTGGATTTAGAAAGGTGTTATTTTGTTTAAGGTTTGTAGGCAGCGTGGAGCATAAGGCCCTTCGGTCAGATGGCTGACAGTCAAATGGCCAGGCGACGTTTGCTTCTGAGGTGGGAAGGGGTTGGGGAGGGACATCGGTGGACGCTGAACTGCGCGGCCAAATGATACTTCCCGGTTGCCCAGGCCGAGGAAGGGGGTTTGGTTGAGGTACCCCACCTTGAGCCTTCGACTCAAAAGTCTGACCCACGAGGCAGTGGGAGAATGTAGGGTTTTCTTTGGGGACCCTGCCCGGAGCCGATGACTCAGTAGTGTGACCTGCTCGGCTGCAGGGTGTTGTCCTAACCCTAGGGCGCAGGGAATAAGGCATTACTGTCTCATTCCTGATGCGGCAAAGCAGGTGCCTTTTGAGCAGCACCGGGCTCTTTGGCTTTCGACCGTATTGGATAATGCGCCGGCGGTCACGGTCAACCGTTGGGCGATCGGAATGTGCGGTTTTTAGGGCCGACGTTTTCTAACCCGTCCTTCCTCGGGGGAAGGCAGCATCGCTGCTTCCATAAATATGGACATGCTGGTCGCCTGGGGGAAACACCTTACTGTCTTCAAACTCCAGTCGCAGAGGACAGTACGAATTTACCCCCAGACTGCCCCGTATCACGATTGCTCGTAGGGCATGGTCTCGCTGCTCTTGGTCTGGCTGCTCCCCTTTGGCCTTCCTGGCATGGTTTACCTTGTGGAACGAATTTCCAGCCAGTGTAGCCCGCGGGATCGCTGCAGCACTGAAGCCCGACCACCACGTCAAGGTGGCAGCTTTCCGTCGGGAGATCAAGTTGTTTTACTCTGGGTCAAACTGTGATTTTTCGGGTCAAGGAACTTACTGAGAAGCTTATCTAGGCATACTCTTTGTTTCGTTCTCTACGATCCAACACCGATGACGTATCTTCCATGTATACCAGAGTTCTCGTGGCATGGCGGCAAACTCGTTAGTGAAGTGGTGATCCTATGTCTCTTCAAGCTAGATGCGTATCACTCTTTTTGTGCTCACTCCGCTGTTTTTTGGAAACGATCGATAGCGTCAGTATCGTCCAAAAGGTGTTCCCACACGCACGAGTACCGTCGCTCAGTGCCAAGACTACGCTTGATCATTTATTGTTACTTTGGATACAAAGATGGCACGGTTTCCTTTTTTTTGGCAGTTCGACTCGGTGATTTATTCAGTCTCTCTGTGCCTTTACTTAAGCGTCCGTACACATCAGAGTACGCGTATTATTGACTTGTGTCACTTTCCTTCTTTCCCAGCTCAGTTTATCTTTGCGGACCGCTTACTCGACGAACGGCACCACCTCAATCAGGGCTTTCCAGGTCTCATTCCCCCTCATTCAATACGCTTTGTCTAATAATTTGCGACATACCTTGTTAACCCTAACTTGTGTGCTTAACTTACGCTTGTGACTGCGCCGGTGACAAGGTACGTCCAAAAGGTGTTCCCACACGCACGAGTACCGTCGCTCAGTGCCAAGACTACGCTTGATCATTTATTGTTACTTTGGATACAAAGATGGCACGGTTTCCTTTTTTTTGGCAGTTCGACTCGGTGATTTATTCAGTCTCTCTGTGCCTTTACTTAAGCCTCCGTACACATCAGAGTACGCGTATTATTGACTTGTGTCACTTTCCTTCTTTCCCAGCTCAGTTTATCTTTGCGGACCGCTTACTCGACGAACGGCACCACCTCAATCAGGGCTTTCCAGGTCTCATTCCCCCTCATTCAATACGCTTTGTCTAATAATTTGCGACATACCTTGTTAACCCTAACTTGTGTGCTTAACTTACGCTTGTGACTGCGCCGGTGACAAGGTACCGTCTCACTTTTCTACGCTCAGCAGCTTTGAGATACTGGAGCTCGATTATTAGCGTATTGGTGAAGTTGCTTCTAGGCTTAAGCTAGCTGATTTTTGTGTGGAGTATTCGCCACTCAGAGTACCTGGACACACCAGGATATTCAGACAAACCAAACCTTCCTGAAAACGCGTGAAGGGCTCATACAGACAAATTGCTTAAATTTTTCAAGCCTCTTAAACTGCGGAGTAAAATCTGGCCTCCAGCCTAGTTACGTTTTCGAACGTACCATGTAGGATTGTATCATATCGTGGTAAGCTAGCGCCAAGTCCCTTCCCCGTTCACCTTCACTCTTCTCTTTACAATGAAGCTTTCAAATAAATCATGGTTGTAAGACAGTGAAGCATTGGTGTTGAACACCGATGTCATGCCGTCGATGATGATGATTTCTTGACGCTATTATTGCGGTATATGTGCTATCAAAACCAATCATTCGCCGCTGAACAAAAAAGGCGTCGAAAATGAAAGAATCCACAACTCGACTGTATTACGTGGATATTCTGACTTGACGGAGCTTAATGAAACAATATAACAAAGGAACAAAATCCACTAGTTTTGCATGTTCCTTGCGTCTACTCAGTTGAAGTGTTGAGACCGAATGCTTACCCATTCATTCCAGCAAAAGCTAAGCAGTGAACCGTACGACGGTTTCTCGAGATAGTCCTGCGAATCGCTCCGGCCAAACTAACCCATTTATAATTACGTGTTATAAAAATCGAACGGCTGTCTATGAATCAAGTTTAATGAAATTATTGCGAAAGTTCAAAACACTGGGCATCTAGATGGGATCTAGGGAATTCCTTCGAGCCCAGAATTCTGTAACTTGAAGTTTTGCAAAAAATGGCAATTCCTGCTCGTCCTATTTCTGCCATTTTTTCTACGACTTTCTTCCGTTTCCTCTGCAGTGTGTTGATCGGGTGAATAAATAGCCCGGCAAAAGTTTCGAATTCTGCACAAGTTGGAGTTTTCGAACTGAACGTGTATTCATGTCACCAAATCAGAGAAAACCATAACTCACCCTGCTGAATATTTGTGTACTAAGTCATCACTCCACGAAAGTAGATAGAGTGACTTGCCCTTTAAATCTCACTTGCATATTTAGTTCGGTGGCAGCCATCAACTCATTTTCTGACGTCCCAAAGCATCACTGGTACTATGCTGCAACACAGTTTGTAAAGTACTGTCATCGGTGAACCGGTTGAATGTGTCCAAAGAAGTGTATATTCGGTTGGCCTGTCTTTTCAAACCCAAACGAACTCGAATGAAGTTCTCCCAGTTTATCCAAACGATCGCTGTGTTTGGAGATCATTCACTTAAGCGCACCCACCCATAGATCAGGTTATGTAGAAAATTGTTACTTTATACTTTTTCATCTGATGGTAGCACACTTCTACCCTTTGAATGCACGAGACAAACAGCTGGTGCAGGTGCTACGCACCAGGCTACGTTCGTTCAAACGCGTTCAGATCAAACACAATCGGCGCACCATATCTCGCAAGCCCATTGTCGATAACCCTCGACAGTATGCTGCCGGGGCAGGTGAGGTAACCACCGTGTCGGCCACTGACACTCGCTTCTACAGAAGTGCAAAGGTCAGTATATGGCGAATAGGCTGCAGTTAGTCATCGGCGAATCAACCTATCACTTGTACGCTGGTTTGCTGGCTTTTATAGCCGGTTCCCGAAGTCTCACTTCGGAATCCCATAGTATAACGGATAAGCCTCTTCACATAAATAAACTTTGCAGCTACTTCAGATGAAACCTGCAGTGCCTGTATTTTATACCACCCCTTGCTGCTTTAGAGGCGGAACCTTATCATGGTGTTGGCAAGTAGTTAGAACTCGGATTAACTGACCGAAAAGTCCGTGGTTCAAACCCGACCTCTGCCTATCGACTTCCCCTGTCTAGGCTTGGGCAACCTGACAATATCCCAGCCCTCGTGCAACCTTCGGGTGGCATGGCAGTTAGGCACCGAAAGGGTGCTACGGCTGGATGGTTTTTACTTGGGTAGTATGCTAACATCCATCATCTGCCTTGTGGTCAAGGTTTGGAGCCAAAGGCTTCGGTCGGAGGCCATAGTGGCTCTCTTTTCTAAGTGCGGGTGCCCTGAATGTATCGCGCACAACCACGAATTTCATAAAAACTTTTTTGTACACAGCAGCGGACGGGCGGAAATATACTACAACTGATGCCTCTTTTCTTAAACTTTCACGTAATCCTTCTTCCTCCAATAGGAGTTCTCTCTCCATGGGCCCCAGCACTAGGTTTAGACGCTTTGTTTACCATACACCACGCTCAGCTGCAACTTCTGCGCGTCAGTCTTCAGTAACAACCGTAACCACCTTGAGGTCACTTTTCATACCCCGAAGACCTTCTTAGCCGCCTTGAATGTTTGAACAGTGAAGAGGACAAAACAAGGGGTCGCTGTTCGTACGCCAGATTTTTTCTGCGTTGACGTATGCTGTCAGTCAGAAGGGATACGGGATGCAAGTACCGTAATGGCCTCTTTCTCTTTCCGCTTCAGGATGTCCGCATTTGGTAACTTGGAGGTCGCTGCAGCTGAATGTACCTGGATAATCCATCGAGTGGAAGCATTGCTACTTGATTGGGTACCCGTTTATAGTCGCCTCTGCGCTGTTCGTTTGGCAACGTCAGTGTGTTCGAACAATAGTGGTTCATTACTCCTGTTCATTGTAGCTACCTTTATCCCAACGGACTTTAGCTTCGAATCTGTGACACTAGGTTTTTTTTTATGGTAGACTAAAAGTCTAGCTAAATTGTGGTCATCGATGACCTAGAGGCCCTGGTAGATAGGCCGCTTAAACTTAGTTTGTTGATCGCGTTGAATTAGGGGCGAAGCCCGCGCTGGAGAACACCAGCCCTTAACGGCGTTAATTGTCTGACAATCTGGTGCCCTTCAATAAACCAACCTCGAACTCATCACCATCAGTTACTGGTGGGGAAGATCGTTCACTACCTTCCTAAATCAAATTTACCAATTTGCATCACTTGTAAAGTCAAAAAGATGTATCACTGGGTTTCAAGGGTTGCGTGTACCAGGTTACGGTAGGCACTGTGTTGTTACGCGATTGTTAGATATGCCCCCACTGCACACCGACCACAGGAAACTTCCTCACGTTTTTTGGCCACCGGTTTCTCGCATGGCGTCGACGAGGTCATTAACCAGGTGATTTTAAAACAGGTGGTTGGTTGTGCAGTAGGTAGCTCAGCGATAGAAAATTATCGTGAACTGCGGTGGCTCGGTCATTTGCTATGCCCGGCGGAGTATCGTCTCCCAAGGTGGATGTTGTTCTCCGCGGCTCCTTCAGAATGACGCACTTAGCGAGATGATGAGGTAACTTGGAAGGAGTGCGTGGAAAAGATTACGAAGATTTTGGGTATTGATGCGGTCCACCCCCCAAGTTGGGATATCTGTAATCCTTTCTGTGCTAGAAGCAATGGCAGCTCACCGACGTTTTTTAACCTTATTGCGGCCAGTTTTTTCCAGATTGTCTGATTTGGCGTTGTGGGAGTGCAGGCACCTCAGAACGCTCGCAACAGATTAGCTCCATGTGACGAAATGGAGTCTAGATCGTGCATTGTCCCATGTGCTCTAGATATTATACGGACGAGTTGATTGTGAACTATTTTCGTACCTCCCTGATTAGAGGTATTCCACTTCGCGGACAATTCTTTTTTCTGGCTAGGTATTATCAGTCTAGATTAACCAGACGTGCATTGGTCACGGACACCGGTAGGCTCCTAGCAAAACGTCTGAAACATGTTTTGTTCCGTAAAACTCGCAATCATGGTCAGGAGCGTCAGAGTTAGCATACGATCCGCTCTCGCTCTACCACTGCAATTTTTTCAAAAGCCCTTAAGGTAAAAGTAGAAAGTAGATATGGAAGGAACCTGATACTCACTTTCCATGAGTGCTGAGATGTCTAAACGTTTAAACATTTCCTCGAGGTCATACTTCATCATTTCCCAGTTTGACTTATTTTCACTAGCAATGTTGAGAAAACTGTGCCATCTAGCCACAATGTTCGGCGATTTAGTTCTTTCTGGGCACCTACCCTTCCAGTCAGCTGCTTTTAACACATGTCTCATCTAACACCTTTTTTCCGTTCTATTTCCGATCATGTGCATTCCTTTCTCTTTCATTAGTCGCGCAATTTTATAGCTTTTCACTCCTTTCCTATCCGATGTCGAGATTTTCAGCTTGACCTGAGCCTGTTTGGAGATTTTTCTGGTCTCTGCCTACGATTCGCACTTCACCCGTGACATTCATGTTTGATTGACCAATGCGCATATGAATGGATCAATCTTGTGAATGTTACTTTCTAACGAATGAATTGAAAAGCGAGTGCACTTGGTTGTATGTCAATGGATCAATCTTATGGATGTTACTTTCTAACGAATGAATCGCACACACTTTGAAAAGCGAGTGCACTTGGTTGTATGTGTGTGCTCTTTTGTTAATTGACTTTCGGTAATCTTACGTAGCACCTGAAACCTCAGAAGTTCGTTTTCTGTGGGAAACTCATCTTTTTCTTTATCAGTTGATTCTGGGAAGTTACTGTGTTTGGAAAGCTGTCCGATTCGAACTGAGAACTAGGGAGCTGTTTTGACTCACCCAGCTGGAGTCAATTGTCCGAAACATACATTTTCAGTTCCTCTAACAAACAATGCTTGAGTGTGTCTCAAGTTGTTTATTTTTTCTGGTATAGGATCTGCATGTTTCTATGGGACGGGACCCGCTCAATGAGGACTACTTGTACTTCGTCCACTTATGTATTGACCAGCGCATTACTGATCTCTCTTATTTATTTTTGCCACTGGTTTGTAAGCAGATAGACCAGTGGTTGGTTTCCTGACGTTGGCATTGTAACTTCATCTCTGAATAGAGCACTATATTTGAAAGCGGTCGCATCATTCAGGCATACGACTTTGTGGTTTTGTCGTTTCGCTACTACCTTCGAAGGCTGAAACGCTTCAAATCCGAGTCCACGGGATTTTATAGTAAGCCAACGAAAGCACGCTCAAAGCCATAATCACATTTCCGTTGTATTAGACTATACTCTGTAGCCCCGTTAAGTTTGTGACAGCCCCATCGTCTCCTCGAAACGGCTCAAGCTGAGGCCTTCAAAACAAATGTAACTGAAAATGAATGGGATAGTATGCCATATTACCGTCCAGTATAACTTTCCTGTTCAGGACAGCATACCACCGGGTTCAGACTTCCTTATTCCAAGGATTACTGCACCGTTAATGGCGATTACTGTTCATTCAGCCTGTGATTGGCCGATCGTGACTTATGTTCACTGCCAGTAGTGCTTTCGGTCTCCGAAGTACCGTATATTATATGTCGGGAGAGTTTTTTTTCTCTTCAAAGTCTATTGTATACCGTCAGGTCCGATTGTAGGAAGTGAATCACACTCACGAACTTGAGGTTTCATTATTGAACTCTGGGCGACTTCACGACGAATTTCTCATGGCGTGTCTAGGTGCCGAATTGCCCTGTCACTTTCGGTTGACAGGCGAAATCCCACTGGTTTAACGTTAGGTGGGGCGGAGGCTCATGGGTTAACGCGCCCGTTGCTTCGAGGCACGAGCTTTCAACGAATATATTTCAGTGCTGATTTCTTCATTGCTTATCTAGTCTTGCCTTAAAACAATACTCAGCTGCTTATATTCCCATACTGTTGGGTTGTATATACACTTCTCTTAATCATTCTATCTGGACTCACGGGAATTGGTTCCCTCACAGCTATGTGTCATTTATGCTTCATTTATGGGTGCCGGCGATGATAATACTGGTGTTGCTCACGTCTCACATAATCACAGCAGATGGTGGCCCTTGTTTGAGCTTCGATTCGGGCGAGGATAGCCAATCGATTTCACATAGTTGCTCTTTCTATGTTTTGTCACACCCTCTGTTTATTCGTCGGTGTGATTTTTCCTCTCTCCATAGAAATTCGGTGCGACTAGCTATACGAAAGCTAACATATGCACCCGAAGAAGCCGCTCCCCAACCATCAGCCGTGGTTGTCAAGGATTTCCTCATGAGCCCTGGTTCGTTGCGGCTTGAAGTTTCCCTGGATAAAGAGGTGAGTTTCATTCAGCTTGTGACGGGCATCGTGACTCTCTTGGCCTCAGTCAGAGCCAGTTCCTTGACTCAGATCTGCAGTAATAAGATTAGTTGGCTCTGAATAACCGGATATCCTTTTTTTTAAATGAAACTGAGGCACTTTGTCAGTCGAATAACCCTAATCCGTTTAGTATTGGTTTTCCCTGATAAGTTCAGTTAATAACTCACAGGCCAAGGAGCTTGAGCGGCTAGTCGCGAGGTCCGGTTGAGCTGTTCGTTGAAGTCTTGGAGTTGTGGTTCTGAAGGACAACACACGTCGATGTTCAGTGCTTCCGGGGAATGTACAGCTCCGCCTTGTTGATATGCCTGCATCAGAGTTCGTATTTCAAATTCCGCCAATTTGAACGAAGTACGAGGGACCAAAATGACATTTTTGGTTAACTTCGAGTGAACTGGAAGATTTCGACTGCCGTATCATAAGCGGCTCATAGAAAAATGCCATCCTCAGACGTGGCGATCTGATTTCGATTCATTTCTGAGGCTCACTACACGTACAAAATAGAACATAATATGGAGTGATTATTTGTTGGTCTCCATGATCTGTCAGGGCATGCCAAAGACTGTCCGAATGACACTGTCACGTCAGATTGATTGGTGTGCATTGCTGTGACTGCTAGTCTCCTAGTTTACTAGCTTGGAGTTTGGGATGTTGTTTGGCGACGTGTGTTTTATTGTTGGACCCCAGTGTGGTTACCAAATTAACCACCATCCAGTCTTTTTCGGCTTCTTGTGATCCAGAGACCACCAAAGTTGTTGGTCAGGATTGGTGTTGTCTGAAGTCACCGAGTGAAAGGTTATCTGCTTTACTGCACACACGTCAGCGATCGCCTGTAAAACGATGCGTTTGAGAGCCTCTGTAAAAGCGTCTTCCAAAGGGTCTGCTGCCGGTTCGCTATTACTGTTTATGCATCAGTAGATGCAGGCCGAAAGTAGTAGCTAACGCGGTTTACCAGCGTCACGCTGAGCACATTTGGCGCTGCTAACGTTCAGTTTAGTGGTAAACTTGGAGTGGAATAGACTCCCTTGAGGGGCTGAGTGACTGCTATAGCACTGCACAGTTGTAAGCAAAGCGCAATGATACTCTCATGACCCTGGAAGTCGATCGAGAGAAGACTTCAGTTTGCTCCCTGAAGCTCTTTATTCGTCAAAAATCACTGCGCTCTTTCAGTGTACAATCTTCCTGGATGTCTTTCCGATTCACCTGATTGTGACCGGCTCGGTTTCTGTTTGTTTCGTTGGCAGCTTGTGTCGGGCGGCTTCTTTTTGCAGTGTTTCAATTGTTGATCTCCACTAGTGACTGGATGGCGCGTTAATTTTCACTTGCACGCTGAAATACCTAAATGATCGGCAGGCTTTGAACCGAATTCAGAGAATTATTGACTGCTCGTTTGGCTTTTTAACTTGTCCCAGGCTCTGTATCACCTACCAGTAGAGATACAGGATTTTCACGCACTTAATCTTTCACCATTTTTTGTAGTGAATAGTCCTAAAGTTTGTCGAATCGAAGACCAGCAGTCCAAACTAGGTCCTGGAGTTGACGATCTTCATTAGGCTTCTATCATCATAGAGGTTGTACGTTCCTGAAAGACAATGGTCGCTGACTTAAAAGGCCTGTTTGGGAAGCCACTCAGACTTTGTTCGATGTCCGTGTTTCCCTTACTACTTAGCTTTTTGTCGTAACGTATATATCGGTTGAACAGTTCTCTTGAAGGACTGGCGAGTTAACTGCTTACGTCCCTCGGATCTAAAGAAGTCGATAGCTATCGGATAAAAAAAATTTCATGCTCCCACCGCGTCTGATTTCTACGACTTTTTCATTCCGAATATATTCAGTTTCGCTTGAGAGCATTTACAGAATTTGTACAGCTCATGTCCCAGCACGGTTATCCTGGTTGACCCGTTCCAGAGAATATACAGGAATTCCGCCAATTTCAGGCCTTTCCTTTTTCAGAAATACTATCATGGTGAATCGATTGCCGTGAATGTGCTGGTGGATAACAACTCGAACAAAACAGTGAAGAAGGTCAAGCTCTCTGGTACGTGCTTTATGCAGTTGCTTGTGCAACCTGTGTTTCATCACTGTTCTATTTGATTGTGTTCCCGGGTGTTGCGTTGTGTGATACCATCCTTCCTCGAAATTTAGGTGAAATCAGTCATACACTCTCTCCTTCAAGAATATGCCAATATCGCGTTGATATCCAGTGGTTACTTTTGTTCTGATCACTATATTTAATATGATGTGTAATGGAGAGTGGTTTCTCAGTCACCGAACTTCGTTCTTTCTCGATGATCGGTTTTTGTCATGAAACTCCTGCCCCGCTTTTTGACTTATCGTACGTTGCTCATGATGTGTAGGCAATCCGCTTCGTTGCATCATCTCGTACCCGAACGCTTTGATACTTCAACAGATGGTGATGCTGATGATGATGAGAGTATCACGTGCGTTCTAAACTGCGGCAGCAGCGGATCCCGTTTGTAACATATGGTGTTCAGTTATTGTTGTCTGCAAAAATATTTCCGACATGGTTGACGGAGCTGTTTTTGGAATTATTGGTTTGCAAAGGAAGTCTCGGAAGAATTCGTTAACTTCATGAAAACGTTGTTCTCCGATAACTTGGGGTCACGTGCACACCTCTGTCCGTTTTCTTCTACCTCGTCACAAACGAATTCATGGCAGGCCAATGAACATAATGGGCTGGAATTGCTGACAGTCTGCGCATGACTTGGTCTTAATTTATACTGGTGAGCGAGGAGCTCAACATGCGCTCAAAAGACTGGTAGTGGATGACCGATAAATCATCTGATTAAAGCACGTTTGGACAATATAACACCATTCATTTGCTTGCGCAGTTAACATCTCGTGATCTAGTGTAACCGGTTCCTCAGGCAGGAGGTTGGAGCGACCTGGTGAATGCTTTTTCCTTTTTAATTAAATCGCTTATATTCTGAAGGTTGAAAGGAGGTTGTCAGCCTTCAAATGTGCTTCACACTGAATGCAAGCGAAGCTACGCTGAAAAGTATCAAAAAGACCATTGCACAACTGCCGATAGTTCCCACTCGCCACGGATCTTCTGATTGGCTTCACCTGCATGGTGAACTTCATATTTGAAGCTTCTGTGATCTAAAGTTAAGTGCACTCAATACTAATGTGCATCGGTAAGAACGATTTCGACTGTCAAAATCGACAGCACGTTTTTTTTCACTCCGATAATCCAGTTGCCCGATTCTAATTTCCCTTTACTCCTGCACTTTTTCTATTGCTGCTCTCTGTATGTTGCTTTCTCAGTTCCTTTACCTTCCTTTCAAACTCTCGTAGTTGACTTTTGCGAATTATCAGTTTCCTATAACAGGTTTTTCCAATACCACATTACCACATTACCAGGTTTTTCCATCTGTTGATGTAATACACCACTCATGAGTTTGCCGAAAATTCTTCGACATCCCGTGACCGATTTCGCCCTTCTTGGGGCACATCAGGTAGGCGCAATACCCGAGTTTCCACCAACCTTATGTTCTACTTGAAACCGAAAGGCACGAAATGAACGAGGTACACTCATTCGCAAACAAATTTGGTTTTCCGAGAGACTCGCTAAGGTTTTTCCATCATTATATTCATTTGTTTGTGGCATCCAATTCATTCTTGGCTTGTTTATTCACTTTATTCTGTCAAATTAAGATTTCGTGAGCTTTTGCTCTGATCCACAACATCTAAATTTCGATCTATTCAGACCGCGGTGTGCGTCGTTCATCCATTCGAATCCAGTTTTTTGTGGCTGGATCTGGTAACCATTTACGTTTCGCCTGACAGACGGTTCCGTTGATTTAAGAAATCAGGACGACTAGTCCAACTGATCTCCCGTACTGGAATGCAATTTTCGCGGCGAATAAAATATATCCTAGTGCTATTTTCTTTTGCGTTTAGAGTAATCCGGTTGTTACGTTACCGTCCGTCCCAGTAAGACCCTCTAAAGTCCGTTGCACACCATAACTCCAGGTTCTCCATTCCAATATAAAATGTATTGTGTTGTACAGTCATCCAGGTTACCGACATCACCCTGTTCAGCCGGGCGTTGCATCAATGCACTGTGGATGAGACAGAGGCCGAGTAAGCACCTCCATCCCGACAAGAATTGCTGTCACTCCCCTGCACGTCATTCCTCGGTTTATAGCTTGTGCCGGTTATTTTGCAATGCCTGTTGTTTGTACCGGTAACACTGGATCATCGGATCTTCTGACTGCATGGGAAGTGACAGAACAAAGATACATGCACATTCATACATATGGATATTTTTGGAGTGATGTTCGCGTGTCTCTAATTTCTTAGTTGGGTTTTACTTTACTAGAATAACCCGGCCACTGTTCAAACATTTTCGTATCAACTTGTCAGTCGAGCATGAAGTTTGACCAGAATTGACCATTGGTTCATGATCCGTTTACTCCGCTTACAGTCAGTCTGTTTAACTATCCCTGATTAGATCAATAACGACAACCAGGTGGGATCATTATAATAACCGTTATGGACTGTTGGTTTAAGCTAATACTTTAGGAATAAAACTGATTGCACTGTGCGCTTTTTGTGGAATTTGCCAGCAAGTAGACTTCATCCAGTATAAATTGTACCACTGGGAGTCAATCATTAGCTTTCCCATCACTGGGCGCTTGTTTACCTAAAAGTTGTAGCTTGATATTATTGTGGTACTTCGACGAAATGAGCAAATTTGTTCATTCGGTGAGTCGGTCATATTTCGGAGTTGATATTCTTAAATTAGCCCATCTTTGTTGGTGGAACTTGGGAGGGAGCCATTGCAATGAGGATCATATGCTGGAAGAGTTCTGATTTCCCTTTTAACCTGTTACCAACTTTTACTTTTACTCTCCTAAGACACACGATTAGTTGGCTGCAGAAATGTCTTGTGCATGAGGATCAGAAGCTCGAGGTAACTCATTGGAAGATCTCGATTGTTCCTCTCTACGCTTGGGCAACCTGGCAGTATCTCAGTCCTCGTGCTTCCTTCGGATAGCATGACAGCTAGGCACTAAAAGGGTGTTGCAGCTGAACGGTCTAATATCTTCTGTCTGTAGAGGCCGTTCTTCGAAGGCATAAATTGGAACCGAACCAGTGAAGATCCGGATTTTCGCGCCTAAACTAATCACAGTTCTTTCTCACGAGACTGGGTTCAGCTGCGTGAGTTTGCCAGGCGTTTTCTATCCACCGTTGCCTTTCCTCTTTAGTCTACCCATTGCTCAACACGGTGTAACCAAGGTATTTGAAGCTGCTGGCGTACTGAATTACCTCATCCCTCAAGTTGAGAATTTGGATGGATACATCCATGCGGGTGGAGTGGGCTACTTTGTTTTCCACCGAACTTGGAAATCTTATCGCCGTATACCGGGACCCGAACTTTCACTGGTGAATGTTAGACCACATTGAGGTCCACCAGCTTCGTGAAAAAAAACCGTCAGCTTAGAGGAATGCCCAGACTGACCCGCTAATAAGCGAACCACACAACTCGAAAGTCAATGAAGCGTGTTCATGCAGGTTGTGCGAATTTGAAACGTCATTCTAATGTTCGTCGCATAGAAAATATTCGGTCCAAACAGCTCTCCCCATGGCGCACACCGTTCTATCGGTTTTTTCGGTAGAAGGAGAGGCGGATGGTCGTAATATATTGGTACCCCTACCTCGCTGAACCGATTCAGTGTTCCAAGTTGGACAAATTAGCCTGTAAATTGGCTCGAGAAGTGCTGAGATGCAGAATTTATAGACCTCCGCACTGATGCCGTCTTGTTCGATGGTTTGTCAACTCTTCAGCTGTCTGACGATTGCGACAGTTTACGGTTCAGTTGTCTGTTCACAGTTGACACCACATGATACTGAAGCTGGACTGGTCTGGAGCTGGAAACTGCCGCCTCCCTAGATGGGGACTCCAGGACTCAACTCATCGATTTTTCAGTGACATTGGCAGACATAGGTCAATAGCGTAGCCATTGGTGCTCCTACATCTGTATTATCACCTGTAGTGTTTAACTGCCTATTTCTCCGCTTTTTCAAACGACATGGTTGATTCAACACCAATTGACTGCTTATGCCATCGCCTCCAATGCTTGGCTAGATTTCCTCTGTTCCATTTTCTGGCGGCCAACCGAAGCCGTAAAAGCTGAAATCAACTTGTGTACTTAATAAGGGATAGACCCAACACAGCGTAGAATATGTTTCAACTCAAAGTCTTGTGAAAGGATAAAAGTTTAAGCCCTTCAACATCGCCAAGACAACCTCTGTATACCGGAGTTAGCTAGGGATAGACCAACACAGCGTAGAATATGTTTCAACTCAAAGTCTTGTGAAAGGATAAAAGTTTAAGCCCTTCAACATCGCCAAGACAACCTCTGTATACCGGAGTTAGCTAAAGAACGTAATATAGCTCTCACCTAGTTCCACACAGGTGTTCTAAGTTCTATGTGGTCAGATCACCTGTATGGTTCCATAAGTTACCTGTGTCACACACTGACTACGTGGTCCTTCGAAAGCTTGCTGTGTTCCTCACCCCTGGGTATCGTCGTACTTGCACTAGACTGTTGTCATCATTCCATCAAATTTTTCGCGTCACTCCCTCGGTTAGCTTTTTTCATCCTGATTACCTGAGTGGTTCCGCAGTCCAGCGAAACCCCTCAACTGTGTGAACATTTTCATATAGGGAACTACTCACAAGGTTGCTGAAAGCTCATCGATATTGCGAATGTTGTATCAATCGAAACATGAAACGGCCTTTGTGCAGTACATTCAGTTGAAGAAAGATTCAGTTGAGTTTCCTGTGAAAACCAAGCTGAAATACAAATGAGTGTATTTGTGTAGACACTTCTTCCCTTAGTCGAATATCCGAGATCAAAGTACTCAAGTATCCCATCTCCTGGTTAGTGTATGCCTAATTTCCAAAATAAGGATGAATGGTGAAATGAATGGCACTTTAGGGTTTTCGGAGCTCATAAAAGATGTTATTCCAAATTATTGTCTCTTTGACGTAGCCCCTTTCTACAATTGTCCCGATTATTGAAGCCGTAAAAATTCTGTGTGGTTATTCCGAGTCATAAGGCCTGATAATTTTGTGGGTTAGTTTGAGCTTAATCAACTGAGTGCAGAGACCAGGCGTGCTCATTTTTATTGATGATACGAATTGATATTTTCGTGCTTGTATCAAACAGCTTCGAAATTGAAATGCTCCCAAACGGTATAACTAAGCTCGCCCTGCCATCCAGGCTGCCCTTGAAACCGAAAGTAACAACAACTTTCGCTTTTTTTGGCGTTAAACCAACCAAACTAGTTATGGGTTTAATTCAGCTATCTGTCTACGGAAAGTCTATTTGAATGGGGCAACACCTAAACTTTCATTATTATGCGCCATTGAGGCGAAGACGAGTTCCGACTTATTCAACAAACGAACCAGACGAATCTGCATTATGGGTGCGCTTGAGTTTGAACTGAGGCACATTGCTGATGCTTATCTAGAGTGGTTCGTATCTCAGAGCGTATCTCAATTCCTGCCCGATCACTTGTTATAGTATTGCAAGAAAGCTGGTCCGCGTGGTCGTACACTATAAAAGCGATCTGTTAGCACACACGGTCAGTCGCTGCGTAACTCCATTTTCCCAACGCGCTTATCCAGCCGTATAGCTTTGATCTCTTGGTTTACAACGAACCCTGTGTTCAACTTAAACCTTAAAGACAGGGTGCTGGTCTCTTCACCGAAAAGTTTTGGGCCGAGTCAGACGAGTTTAGGAGATGTCAGTCTTTGTGAATAGCATCAGTATGGTAAAATAACTGGCAAAATATGTAGACAAAACGTACTGCACCTGTATTTTTGCAACATTCTGAGCATCTTCGACTCAGAAATTGTGTGATGTTCACCCCATATATCCTCTCTATTGTATCCTTTATAGTCCATGTGTTAAATAAATCCACGCTAAGAATCGGACTTTCGAAAAACAACTTACTAGCAGCCTGTAGGATATGAGAATTCCAACGTTTGAAACCAGTTTTTGTCTTGTCTTGTCTAGCAAAAGTTTGACTGCTTAGCCGTGCCAAAACAGTAATTATCAGTACTGGTTTCACTTCTCATCAGCCCGAGAGTTTCTTGTTTTCTTGACTTGCCTGTTGCAGAACAGCGTTTTTTCTAATGATCGCATCAACTTACTCGAATCATGTCCACTGACCTCTACTTCGATGACGAGCTTTCTCCATAACATTAAGTTATCTTCTGATACATACCGCCACACTTTCAGACTCTTGTCAGTGAGCACCGGACCATATTGACATTGACCGCAATTTTAGGTTATTTTCGAAAAGAAGCCACGAACGACTACACTGTTGTGATGCATTGCAAGTTATCTATGTCCGATGAAGTTCAGTACAGAAACAGTGATACTTCATGTGTAACGCAACCGATAAAAGATGAAAGCCATTTTCCCAGGCTTCCATTAGGTTTTTCCCACCGTTATAGCTGTTGTAGCTCTTTCATCCTTGTTGAGATCAGTAAAAGAATGTGTACCACGAAATTCGAGGGAGGTTTGAGATAGTTACGGGTGACTAACCAACAGCACAGTTACCGTGCACCTAGACAGGTCATAGCGCCACTGTGCTTCATTCACGCAGCTGACATCACATGGTTTGTTGTTGACTAGCTCCTCAAGTGACTTTCAGCTTCCCGGCTGTTGAACCTAGTCAGCTGAAATAACTATTTGACTTATATTTGGTTCCTGTATGTCTAGTTGGGATTGTCGCATTCTTTAGTCAGTCATTCTTGACCGTTGTTCGGTGTGTCTGCCACAGATCATGTCGCTGAGTTCGTGTTTATCATCTCATACCTGTTAAGCACATTCACCTTAAAATGCAAATCCGCGGCACGCTTTACTTTTTGACTAGTCCGGCGTACTTACTGGATCTCATATTTTAGTCGACTGTTGCTAGGTTGAGCGTGTCCACCTCATTTCTCACATGGATAACACGATTGTTGTGGCTGCTGTGAATTCAGTTCATGCCTTGCTTCCCTAGAACAATCGACCTAGGTGTTTCCAGTTTCACATATGCACTGAATCCGGTGTGGTGTTACG